AGCAATTGGAAATGCAAACTAATGCTCGGAGCACTTATTATAAGCATGTGTCAAGCTGATTTCCACTGCAGCCAATTTGGATTATAATTATTATAGATACAGTGGGATGAACCTTTTTCTTATATTCACTTTGTAGATACTACCAGGTGATAGATGGAAAATTGTAACACAGCTAGATGAGTTTTAAATTAAATTTAAATCATTTATAAAACCACTGCAGCTTTCTCTGTTAGAAACCCAATCACATGTTTACAAAGTCTACGGCTTATAGGCTCATGTACGCAGTTCTGGTACAAGCAGTGGTTTTACATTAAATTAACAGGCACAGCTGGAAAGATGGGCAACTGATGAAATTAAAGATGTAGAGAAGGACAGCTGTTGTGAAGAAACAAGGCATAGAGTGTAAAATAAAGAGACAGACATACCAAACTGATTAAACAAAAGAAAAGAGAGGAAACAAGAAAGAACGGAGAGATGAAATCATGACAGCCTGCAGCACCGAATACCTGCTATATGTTCATTTCACAACAAAAACTACTGACCAATTAAAGCAAGAAGCCCATCAGACTGTAAAATAAACCCCCTAAAACAGACAAAGAATAGAAGGAGATATACTTTACTTACATATCTTGAACATTTTAATGAAAAAACAGAAATGGTCTTTGATTTATTATTCCTATTAACTATTATTCATTTCTAACAACCTATCATAGAAAAGTCTATACGTACGAAAGCATCACATTTTATAGTCCCTTCTAGGCATTTGTTTTGTTTTCATTATGTCAGTGCATCAGTTGAAATAGCATGGGTAAACTGCACACCTTTAAAGAGGCTATTAAGACCACATAATATCTACAGGTATGAGAGGAAGTTCTGCTAGCAAACAGATGGTATCATTTCTCTTCCCTGAGCAACTGTGTCAAGAAACATCTGCAGTTATTACAACAGTATTGTGGTTTTAGGTAAGCAGCAACAATGGAAAACATAATTCCCTTCTAAAGCAATTAGAGGGATCAGATTTCAACCTGGTGGTGATCTTAATTCTTGATAAACTTAATCAAAATTAGTAATTATATTTACAGTCAAACCAGATAACAGCCTTGTCTAGATCCACAACAAATAAAGTTGGATAAGGGCTCCCATCCATGACATGATATTCATATCTCCCTTAATGAAAGTCAGTGACACATTACTTTACAAATCCAAATCTGTACTTTACTTCAGTATCAAATTTTTGAGGGTTTTTTACCATTTACTATTTCACTATAGTTGAAAAAAATAACTGTACTTCATATTTTTTGGTTCCTCAAAATTGACACACTACTTCTATATTGGTAACAGCAAGTCATAATAGCCTGAACAAAAGAAAGGGAAAATCAAGAGTGCAAAAAAAAAATCTGTCCAATTTGGGATGAAGACAGGGGGCCAGGAAACATTGCAAGTAACAGATAATTCATAGACAATTTACATACATTCCACCTCATACGTATTAGATCTTAAATTTACTTGATTATGTTTCACGTTCTATTTCAATTTTAATGCCATTTACAACTCTAAGGGGATTGGCGGCCTAGTGATTAGGTCATTGCGCTTGGAATCCAGAGGTTCTGAGTTCGAGCCCGAACCACGGAATGACACTCTGGGTCCCTGAACAAAGATCCTTTACCCCACACTGCTCCCCGGGCACCACACAATGGCAGCCCACTGCTCCCCAAGGGATGGGTTAAATGGTTAAATTAAATGGTTAAAGAGTTCATTTCGTTGCATTTTACTTGTGACAGTGTAATGACAATAAAAGCAGGGGAAAAAAACAACTCTAATGCTGTGAATACCGGGACTCTAAAAGTGTCCAGCTGCTCGTATATCTTTTCAGTTCAAGCTATTTTATCTTGTCTAATTTTCATTTTAATACAACCTAAACAGAGCCACTATGTTTATGGTCTGCTTCCCAACACAGTGAGCAAAACAAGATAAATTAACTTGTTTTTTTGTTTATAGAACAGTATTTTTAGAAATAAGTCAGTGAAAATTATTTTGTATAATTTAATGCAAAACATTTAACTTTTACTTTCATAGTGTAGAACTTGTGTATTTTTACTTCTACTGAGGTAGAAGTCGGAACTTTTACTTTTATCAGTCTGTTTAAATTAAATTCATGATGTCTTTGACACATGGCAATTAAGTTAGAACATTTATTTGATAAATATTGCTAGCTGAAATTAATTTTTTATTTTTTATTTTGGATAATATGTTTAATTTGTTTTATTATTTGATGCAGGCATCAACAGTCACATGGAAATGTTTACATTTATAAATAGAACTATCGCCACTTTCAACAGCAGGATCTTTTCTTTTTTCACAGATGCCCAACCTTCACCTTCCTCCCAGATGCAGGAGTTGACGTCAATTTAAAGCAATTTAGAAGCAGTGAAGCCATTTAGCCATATCTATTGGAGCTGTCCTAATTATAACTTAATCTAGCAACAAAATATAATGGGTCCCTGGCAGAAACTGCAAAGTTTGTTAGCAACATCAGGGTCCTGTGATAACAGGAAGCACAGAGAGCGAGTTGTCTGTAGCTGAAAGGGAACTGAAGATAAGCTCTACTTCAGCTTGAGGCATGTTCTAAAGCCCAAGACTCCTCTTTTGAAAACAACAAAAGTGTTCTGAGCTTATATATTATTCACACATTTACCTGTGTAGTTGTGCAGCTCATCTGTGCTGGTAAAGTCTTAGTTAAACCCGTTCATTCAAAGGTTTTTTTATTCCTATCACTGTCTGCTAAAACAGGTCCGTATATCCATCTCAAAATAAAAAAACAATTCTTATATTTTCATTTTATCTCAAATGTCAATTGAATATTTAAACATTCTATTCTAATATATGAAGCCAAAGGAATATTTGGGTTGTGAAGGTTATCCCCATCTCTGAGGTAGTATCTTGATAAAACTTTGGCTGATTTTGAATTAGGCAAATTTTAGCTCCTTTTCTTTCATGTTTTGTGGGGTCAAGAGTAAAACTCTATTATAGGTAGGAAAGTAACTCCAGACTGCTGGGCTGTCATTATGTGATTGCAACACACAGGGATTTTACATGTCACAGCTCGGGACAACGGCCTTCCTACAAAAATACAACGCAATCATTATAAAATTCAAATAAAATTAAGATGTTTAAATTTACATATATTGCATAGAGTACATGTTTAGAAATTATGTTGTTGTTTTTTTTTTATACGAGGTTGTCTGTGCCTTTACATCCTATCACACAAAGGATTGTGAGGAACAATTATAGCTCTGTAGCGGCGGATAAGAACCTCTTGATGTTCTTATGCGAAATGAACTATCGATAGGACGAATTATGCTTCTTCCTACCTCAGTCCTTACTGCCAGCCCTATTCGGATAGCACTTACAGTATGGTGACCGCTGATCCGCTAGGGCTTAAGTGTCCTTATAGGTTTATCAGATTTGTATTGCGCCTGTGGCTAAATGATGCCCCATATAAAATATGAACAAGACTGTTTTGATCAATTAGGATTTTAAAATAGGCATAAAAGATATGGAAATGCCTTGTTTATTTATTCCACAGTTTTCTTTGTCATATTTTTAAATAAATATCATATTGACATTTCGAGCTGATAGCAAACAGTTGAAACTGTGCTGTGCGTTATAAAACAGTTTAGTTGTCTGAATCATTTATTGTTGATTTTTAATAATTCATTAATATTTTAGATTAAATGGTAAAAACATTTCCAAACTAACAAATAATTAAGTAGTTGTTGTCCAACCACTATTAATAAATATTCATCAACTCATAAATTATTAAAGTGTTGATATGGTGTTGGCAAGAAGTATTTTAAAAAGGATTAAGGTTGTCAGGATTGCAGCTGTTATTTTTCTTTTAACTTCTTCCAAAAGAGAGGTCAGATTTGTCAAATGTAACATCTGCCTTGTTACAGATATACAGACAAACATTGCTGCACATGCTTTATGTTACCAGGTCATGGTTTTGTACTCTGGAGTCCTCTGGTGTCGTTTGAATACATGTTTTCTTTAACAGAATACGAATGTGCATCTGTCACTACTATCTACCGACTCTACTTTTGCCTTATTTACTTTACTTCCCCAAGAGGATGCTCATTGATATAATGCAATGACCACCTATCCAATGGCTATTTGACAAACCAAACATCTATTAACTATTGCAAATGTTCTTGCTTGAATTTAAAACCAAAAAGGGTGGACACATATCTTCTCATAGGGTTGAATGTATGATGTTCAACTAAGATTTTTCATTTCTTATTTAATCAATATCTTATTCCTAGATCAGTGTGTCTCTCCATCCTCAGCTCTTTTCTCCCACTTTCTTTTCCTCCTAGTTTTCTTTTTCTTGCTCGATGAAACATCAAACACTAAAATGATTCAAGGCAGGAAAAAAAAAAATCCAATGAAAATAAAATAAATGATTTGAGGGCAACCTGATAAGACACAGGAATACCCACTTGAGAGGGTGTGGATCATTTCTACGCTCCCCCTTCCTTTTCTTGCCCTCCCTCCTTGCTCCATCTTGGTTTCCCCTTATTGTGGGAAAGCATTACAGGTGTGCTGTGTGTTCGCTTGTAAGAAGGAGAAAAATCGATTTCCTGTTGACTTTGTAGGAGAACCAAAGGATATTACACAGTGCATGTTAGGCAGCCGTGAAGACAGCACCATCATGACTTTTGCAGGAAATGTGAGCATAAATTTGTATATATATATATCTTTTAAAGCTGTACCACCACACAATAAAAAAGGGTATTTTTATATTTTTGAAAGGAAGCCTCAAAACCTGTAAGGAGCGGTTAAAGTTCTGATGGTGTGTTTTATAGAAAATCTTCCTGCATAACACTCTGCCCATTCAAATCTTTGTAAACTGCTAACCCTGAGTGGTTCAGTCAGGATGTGTCTGATAATAGAAGCATTGCTGCATGACCTTTGTTAACTCTCACTCTATGTTTTCTCAGGTTATGGCGGGGTGGAGTTGCTGCTGGTGCTCTGGGGCCTGGATCTCTCCATGCCCTGCCCCCGTCACTGCATCTGCTACACTTCACCTAGCACTGTTTCCTGTCAGGCCCACAACTTCCATGCTGTGCCCGAAGGCATCCCAGCTCAGAGCGAGCGCGTCTTCTTGCAGAACAACAAGATCCAGCGGTTGCTCCGGGGCCACTTCTCACCCACCACCACCATGCTCTGGCTCTACTCAAACAACATCTCCTACATACAGCCGTCCACATTCCATGGCTTCGAGCGACTGGAAGAGCTCGACCTGGGAGACAATCGCTACCTGAAGGCTGTTGCCTCAGACACTTTCATGGGCCTGGGTCGGCTACATGCCCTACATCTGTACCACTGTGGTTTGATCAGCCTGCCTCCAGAGATCTTTTCTGGCCTACATAATCTCCAGTATCTCTACCTACAGGTGCTTATAACTGCCAGTTTGCTCTACTGTTTACTTTTACATTGTATTCCTTACACTATAGTGTATTATGATTTTATGATTTTATCCACACTTAAGCATGATTTTACCCACACTTAAGCATGCCAGATATCTGACACTAATGAAATCCCAGTAGTTGATAAATTAACTTACCTATCAATTGAACTGTGTTCAAGCAGCACAAGGAAGAAAAGCATTCTCATATACATATAAGATTACAGAGAGCCATCACCAGGTTCAAAAGACACATTACATAACACTATGCAGAATTGTTTTTAGATCTGATCAATATTTTCCTTTAAAACCTATAAGAAAATGTGTTTATGAGCACCCATATAGATGTTAAATCAAACATGAAATCAAAGGAAGCCAATCGTTGTTCATAGGACTTCAATTCAGTTTAATTCAGTTTTTTTTTTTTTTTACATATATTGTACCGATTCAAAACACTTCATCTTAGCACACTTTACAGAGCCAATACAGTCAGAATGGATAAATGTTTTAATCAAGGAAAACTAGTCAGTTGCATGGACTTACAACACACGCTTCCCCAGAATGAGACTGAAGCAACAACTTTTGTTTGCATTTTGTCACATCCCTCACACCGAGTAAGCATGCAACCACAGTGGAGAGGAAAAACTCCATTTAAACAGGAAGAAACCTCCAGCAGAACCAGGCTCAGTGTGAGCGGCCATATTCCAAGACCGACTTGGTTTTATGGAGACAGAAAGAAACAGAAAGAACCAGAGATACAAGAGGTAACTGTCTACCACCTCCACAGGTGGCCCCATCCATGAAAACACAGCCAGGCAGACGAGCTCCGAGCCAGTTCTCATGTCAAAGGATGAAAGAGAGCATATATAGTTAGTTACAGAAAAAAGACGATAAAAAAGAACATAGAACATAAAGTTATAGGTGGAACTAACAAATACTGGAGAATGGGAACACATGGATAGAATGAAGCTAAAAGACGAAAACTTGTCCTAATATCGTCTAGCAGCCTAAACCTAAAACAGCATAAATACAGAAAATAGATCAGGCTAACCTAACTATTTTGGATGAGCTACAAGAAAGGGAGAGCCAAGGAGAAACATCTGTCCAGATTGAATTCTCCCCTGATGTTTTTGACCGCTCACTCTACCTCCTCCTACTTCTCTACTCAGCTCGTGAGTAACATCACTCTGTTTTTAACTATAAGCTTTATCAAAAAGTTTTAAGCTCAATCTTACAAGTTGAGAGAGTGTACTGACTAAAACTTGTAGTTGGTTCCACAGGAGAGGGCCCCATATCTAAAAGATTTGGCTGCCATTCTACTCTTTTTCAATTCTAAGAACCACCAGTAAACCTGCAGATGCCCAAAGGGACTCCCAGAGCAAAGGTGTAAAAGAGGGGCCAACACAGGAAACCCGCCCCCCACCAATGGAAGAGGAAAGATAGCACCGAAGAAATCCCCCAGCCACCACAATGCCAAAAAACCCCAGGAGCCACAGGGTCAAAATGACGAAATGACCTCCCCAACCCTTTTTTATCGACTCATCACACTGCCACAAGCACACAAAGAAATGGAGCAAGCTTTATAGTGACCTAAAAGCGTTTCTGAGCTTTGCAGATTTCCAGTAATCCTTAAAATCTGCATAGTTCATCTTTTTCATGGAATTCATAAAGTATAACTGTGTGACTATAATCTTTATGGCAAATATAATACACTGTGTGGAATGATGCAAAATACTGTGTTTATATCAGAGTGGCAAGTTATTACTCATTTCAAGATCAACTTTCTTATCTTTCTTTCTTATTTTATAGGACAACCAATTAGAGTTCTTAGAAGATGATTTATTCATCGACCTCCTAAACCTAAGTCATCTCTTCCTGCATGGGAATCGACTTTGGAGTCTTCGCCAGAACACGTTCCGAGGACTGGGGGTTTTGGACCGACTTCTCCTGCACCAAAACCGTATCCAGTGGGTTGATCGGCAGGCATTCCACGACCTTCGTCGACTCACCACTCTCTACCTGTTTAATAACTCTATAACTGAGCTGTCAGGTGCCACCCTGATGCAACTGCCAGCCCTGGAGTACTTGCGTCTTAACGACAACCCCTGGGAATGTGACTGCAAGGCCCTATCACTCTGGGACTGGCTTCGTAGGTTTAGGGGCTCTACCTCCACTCTGATCTGTGTTTCACCACCAGAGCTGGCAGGAAAGGATATGAAGTCCATAAAGAAGGAAGAGCTACCCAGCTGCTTGTCCAATGAGGGCCATGGAAGAGGTACCTCAGGAGAGGAGACGGAGCATGGAGACTCTTTAAACCACCTAAACCGCCACAGAAACCATCACAACCATCATCAGCGGCCTTACCTGCCGCATGGGGATCAGTACAGTTTGCCTTCGCCCCCACCTCTACCACGACCACCGAAGGGAAGCCGCAAAAACTGTACCCGCCGGGGACGGAAGGCAAAAGGGGGGCTAAATGAGGTCCAGATACTTCAGGAGGGGGGTGAGAAGGACTACTCACCAGAAGGAGGAAAATACGACATGTCTGCTTCTTCAAGAAGGAGGAACAAGTGCATTCCCAGAACTTCTGTCGGTCCGCCAAGTGGAGTTCAGAGAGCTAATAATAACACAGGGGCCCACTCGGCAGTGTGCATTCCCTGTTTGTCATCAGCTCTTCTTCTGTCAGTCTATTTTGTGTTTATGCGCTGAAACAGGACCCGCACGCTTATGTGCTTATGATGCAACCTTATGAGTAATTCTCCTATTAAAAAAATCACCCTGTCATGGCTATTTAAGGAGACATGTTGGATGACGAAGTGCACACTTGACATTCCAGTGAGAACATCATGGAGTGTTCCTGTGGGAAAAATGCAGGAATCATTATAAGTCCAACAAAGAAAGATGGGGAGAACAATTCAACCTACTGTTTTGATGATGTCAGCATTGAAATAACAGGGAAACTACTGTCTCTTTGGCATCAGTCTCTTCATCAAATTTATGTACTAATGAAAATTGTACAGCCTCATCAAATAATGAATCAATCATTAATTAGAATAACAGTGATATTGCAAAGGAAAAATCAAAACAGTTAACCCTCTTGAATATATAGTGCAATCACAGTACAGCCTCGATGTGCCACTCACAATAGGACAAAGACAGTAATTTAAAGCTGTCTCTTTGCTAACTCAACAGCACCTAAGACCAAGAAACACACTACTGAAGACATTGGTTGCAAGAAAATGACACATTGTGAAGAGTTTCAAGACTAATAGCTGTAATCACTATCAATCCGCTGGGAAAATTGGCTCTGCTCCCACATCTCACTCTAGTTTTAATGCACATCTGTACAATTTGGCATCTAAATAATACAGCTGAAATTGTCACAAAACAATATAGCTGTCAATTCATCAAACAAGTTCAGTTGAAAGCTATCATTTGTCCTCAACTTTGCATAGCAAGTTAAAAGCCAATCCAAGCCAACACATTTTTCGAAAATTCAACAGGTCTCATTTATCATCCTAGAGTGAGTGAATATTTCTGAGAAACTGTTGTATGTAAAGTGGACACTTTACTGTAACTGTAAAGTGGCAAAATAGGGAAAGAAAATGCTCTAAAGCCATTCGGGTAGAATAAAGCTAGATAACAAGAGTGCCTAATGGGAGCAAGATATTAATAACAGCAACATCTGGAGACAAGAGGTAATGTCATTCGCTCTACAACTTCCCTTGCCTGACCACCTTTCTGGGGCCAAGAGACGACTGAGGATTAAACCCAGGTCATAGCAATCCTAATTCACTGAAACTTCTTTCTTTGATGATGTGGAGAAAATTTGAAAGCACTATTCAGTCTTAACAGCCACAAGAAAGAGATTGTGTATCAAAGGTCTGATCAGCCTCTATTGAGTAAAAAGGAAGGTCAGAGTCTGAGAAATACTGTATGAAGGTGTTAATGGACTTCTCCTTTCTTGTGTGTTAACAAGGACTTGTTGATCTGCAAGCCTATTTGAAGAGTTGGATTTTTATCTCTGCTTGGTCTGAAAATCACCATGACCTGTTAGGGGCTATAGGCTCCTCTTCAAGAAATAACCAATGACAGATAGGACTGTGGGACACAGCACATTCTTTGAAGACAGATTAAGCATGGCCTTTTTCTTCCTCAAAATGATAAAAGATCAAGCACCTTCACTGCTTACTGCAAACTTCCCACTCAAGTTTGTTCAGAGTGAGCCAAGAACAAGCGGCTCTTACTCGGTTTTTGCTTTAGACAATTTTTTTTTTTTTTGCACAACTCAAGTCACAATTGCTCAAAGGCAAGAGGTGGAGACCAAATTTTAGACAAACTGTTTAATTATTCCCTGCAGTGCAACAGAGTACTGAGCTCTTTATTTAAACTGTTCCTCATAAGTAGAGATGCACAGAGAAACTGACTGGTGAGAGGAGGTGGAAAGTTACAGCTTGGTTGATCCTAATTGGGAACCAATCAGTTGGAATTTCCGAAAAGAAAGACAATCTATTTAGATTGAGCAACACGTGTTACACCTTTATGGATCCTTGGCTTTTACAAGGATCCATATAATTGCAAAAGTCTCTTCTGAGATTGTCTGCCCTAAATATTCACTTGATTTTAATTTTATTCCAGTGGTGAGCTTTTCCAGTTTGAGTTGTTATAAGTAACTACATTCAGATAAGCACTTTACTTAGCCTTACACAAGTCTCAGATTTAATTCATTTTTCATAAACTCACAGCGACACACCACAGTGTTTAATTAAGCAAATTTATTAGGTTTAATATCCGCTTACAAACTGTTGCATTAAAAAAATATGAACATGTTCTGTTAAAGTGTTCCAGTTTTCTACTCAATCACTTTGAAATAACACCTGTTTACTTTATGTAAACAAATAAAAATCCAAAGTATGACTTTAACATATAATCCACATTGATTTTCTAAGGTTTGACATGCTAACCATACCAGCTGCTAATATAAAATGCTTATCGGTCAAAAATGTGAAATCTAATATCATTTTTTTTTTTTTTTTCTTAAAAAAAAATTGCAAACCGTCTTAAAAAGCTCTGCCATAAATGCAGTGAGACAGTCCCTCTTCTCTGGATACATTTAATTCTTTCTCAACTCAAAGCAGGAAGGTGAGAAAAATATTTTAAAGGCTTTTTTTCTGCTGAAATGGGAACTGGCAAAAATTGTGTTGGCATGGCTTTTTCAAAGCAGATGACAGACTGACCACAAAATTCTGATTGCTGCATCTCTACTTATGACCAAACAACAGCAAAGCTAAAACATTTTAATCATGATAGGCTGCTAAAAAAAAGCACAATAAAATTGTGGTCCAGTTTGCAGGCTACCTAAAACAAACTGGTTTGTCGGGAACCCAAGGACAAGGGACCATATTTGTACCCTGCCTGCGTTTGTTTCCAACAGAACCTCACCTTTTTGTGTCTATCTATCTCGATGTCGAGAACATTCGGCGGCCTGTCAGTATAGTGTCACTGTCCTGACAAATAGGATTATAGGTCCCTATACCAGTGAACTTTGTCTGTGCTGCTGTGAACCAAGAGGTGATGTAAATTGTGTCTGTTTATTCCTGTGAGGATAACTTTTGTAAAAAAAAAAAAAAAAAAAAGTGGAAAGACGAGACACTGCTGTCTCTCTTTTTTCCATAAAAAAATATAAATACAAAGAGCTGAAAGCTGGAACTTTGTTATTTTTTTTAATATTCCTATAATAGTTTTTTGGCTTCCTTTTTTATTTGTTTTGCTGAGTCACTCATGATAAACAGCTCACTGCTCTGTTTTACGTGCTTCTTCTCTTTTTGTCTTTCTTCACTTTCCATTTGTCATCCTCTCTTCTCCATCTTGCCTGCTTTGGTTTTTCTTTCTCCTCTCCTCTTCTTTTGCAGCTATTTTCTCATTTCAATAATCACACACACACCCACACACACACATGTGTATTATTTTCCTCTCTTCCTTTGTGGTGCCCAAATGTTTTCTATGTGGTTATCAAACAATGCCAGACTGAAGCAGTTTATAAATAACATTAAACAGATAGTGTCCTCAAACGGCTGAGGTGGTCTCTGTTTGTTTGGCCTCTTTTGTTCCAGCAAGTGTGCACATCTGTCTGAGTGTGTGGTTAATAGACATACCCCTAAATGAGCTCTGAGGCTTCACGATAAGGCAATGAAAGGAAAGAAAATAGTAAAAAACTGAAAGGCAGTAAAAAAAAGATAATTGAATACGTTTCTTCATCTTGTGTGAGGAAGAAAAAACACATTCCCATATAACAAGGATAGATGCACCGCCCCCAACAACCACCATCACTCTCCTGTCCTACTTTTGGCCACTTACTTACTGTAGCAGCCTCATATAAAATATGCATCACAGTGACTGTCAGGACACATACATAACACACACACACCGGTCTAGGTGTATCAGCTGTGAGGATTAGATGGAGGTGTCTTGTGTCAGGTCAAGGTTAGGACACATGAAGCATCGGGGTGTGATTGTATCCCAACACTTTTTTCCATGTGTGTATGTTTGCCCACCATGTTGATCCGCCTATCACAGCACATCAAGCCTGACAGCTGAGGGGCAAAGATGAAGTGGTGTGCCTCTGAGAAGGTATTACTGCTCTGTTTGTATAACAAGCTGAAAATAGGGGGAGAATAAGTGTGGATTTGAAGACAGAGCGGTGGAGAAATCTGTGAAGGAGGTCTGTGATGTTGTTATCAGCACCAAACATATAGAGGGTCGGGGCTCAATGCAGGCTGGTGTATGAGGGCCAAACACCCTCATGGTTTATAGCAGGAAAAACAACAAAAATATCAATCAAAAATAAACAACAAAATATTCCTTAACATTAATTGTAAAATTGAATTAAAACACACTTTATGGAGACATTATGGGCCTTTTAAAATGGAATAGAACAGAATTAAATACCCATTGTCCCAAAGTCAGGAAATTCAGGTATACCATCAGGCAAATGGGAGCATGCAGATACGCACAAGGCTACAGAAATAAGAATAAGAGACTTATTATAAAAAAATAATAGAAATAAGAAAGAGGTAATAATAAATGTTTAAATTTACAACATATGGAAAACACTGTACAGTTATTGAAAGATGAATATTCCTAAACTTAAAGAAATGTGCTGCTGAGTAGGATACAAATAGAAGAGAGGTGAGAAATTCTGGGAAGAAAAGCCAGCAGTAGTCAAAAACAACAGAGTTGTGGCACAGGAAACTAGGCTGGGGGAAGGATGATATCTTTGGAATGCAGAGCTTCTCATGGAGAGAGCCATAAGCGTCCCATCTTAAAAGGACTAGAAGTCAGCAAGTTAATAAACCTCAACGCTCAGTATTTCTATTTCATTTAGACCAGGTTTGAATTGTGTTTTGCTCCTAGAAAATTAAATAATCATTTTGTGTTTACAAAGAGTTGACTTGAACAGACCTTATTATCATTTTGTACACACAGAGTGTATACAAAAAGACATTTTGTTCAGTACAGCTCTCAAGACATTTTCATTTTTTAAAGTGCAGCCGTGATGAAGGTAAGCAGCAGTGATAATGTAAGCATACGACTTTATATTAGTAACAGTTCCAACATTTAGGTTTTTTTTTTTTTATTAAATTAAAATTACATTTAAAGCTTTAAAGCCTAGTGACTAATTGTGTGACATATTATCAAAGATAGACAATCAAAATTCTAGTTAAAACAGGGTCAGCAATACAAGAAGGTTTTGATTGCAGCACTGATAATAAAGGTCCGGAATGGTAAAGAATGAATTTGGCCTCAAAATTCTTTTAAATGAACAACCATGTCTTAAAAAACTTGAAAAGATCCAATAACTGTTCATGTGTTTCTGATATGTTAAAAGTTTATTTTGCAGCAATTAACTGTCTGAAGACTGAAAGCCACTGATCATCAAAGATCTACTTTCTTTTTCTTTGAAGGTTTGCCAGAGTTCTAACATAGCTGTCTTCGACAGGACTCTACCTTTAGTAATCCTGTCTGAAGAAAATCTACAAATAACTTTGTGCCATTGAGAACTTAATAATGTTATTAAACTCTGCACAATAAAACAGCACAGATTATGATTAAACATGAATTTTGCCGTGTAAGCTCTTCTCTTCTAGACGAATTGGAAACATAAGCTCCCTGGAGAGTCCTTTAATGTTGGATAATGTTTAGCAGTGATTCTCAACACTGTGGCACTAAGAATACAACTAAAACATTTTCCAGCGTTTTATTGTCATTACACTGTCACAAGTACAGAACAACAAAATTAACTCTCTACATTTAACCCATCCCATTGGGGAGCAGTGGGCTGTCATTGTAGGAGAAACATGGGAAAAACTTGAGGGAGGAGTTGAACAACATCCATTTTTAGACCACAGAAAAAACAAAGTGTCCTTTGACAGCATTACGATTTTGCCTGAAACCAACAGGGATGGAGGACTCAAGATTTTTCTTTGCCTTAAGAGTGGTCTCTCCAGAACATATTTTCCTGGTCCTCTGAATGTGATGCCTCCGTCTTGGGCTGGGTCTCATTATTGAGCTTCAAAAAATTTGATCGAAGCTAATTTGAGAATCTGAAAATTTTACAAATACAAGGTGATTTTTAAATCCACATTACAAAAATAAAAAAATACAACAAAACCAAGGAACGCGAGTTCAAATCGAAAGAACTGACTGGCGCATTTCATGCTGCCAAAATCTCATTTTGGTCCCTTTATTTCTATCATGAAAAATATTTTTTCTTTCATTCGTACATTTGATCTGCTCTGAGATTTAAAAAACTACCACTTCCCCTGGATTTTAAGTGTTTATCTTAGCAGCTGCAGTCTAAGCGCAATACATCTAAATGAACACATTTATTTTAGTTTCAATATTAGCAATCATAACTTAATTTTTGCAAAAAGTATATATAAATATGTCTTTAGAAACAGAATTATTTCTTTTCAGTTTTTTTTATAATTCATATGACAAATAATTATCATCTAGTTTTTTTGCAGTCACGAATTAGCACCCATTTTTGACTGCATTAAATACCATATTAGTTTGTTTAGATAATTTAATAGCAACCAGTAATTTAATTTCAACAATGAATCTTTTAATTAATTTTGTGTTCTAAAGGATTTTGTATTTTTTTGAGAAAAAAATAAAACCCAAAATATAAGTCTAAATATTTTGTCATAGGTTTTCTCCTTGGAGTCCAAACTTGATCTTGGTCTTGGAGGGTCTGTTGTTGATATGGGCCTGAGAGGGTTCTGTCTTGGTCTTTTTTTATTTAATGTGTCTTGTTTGCCAATATAGTAGCACTGAGAATTGATGTCCTAGTGCTGAATAATAGCCCTTTCACAATTACAATTTTGCTTTTGCCATAAAATTCCACTCGGTAATTGTTTAATGGAACTTCATTAGAAGCGGCTTTGGAATTTTAAAAAAAGTGCAGTGGACAAGGAGGGGGAAAGGGAGGTGAGAAAAGGAGACCGTGGAAATAATTAGGGGAGAGGGAAAGCAAGATTATAAAGGAGAAAAAAAAAAACTTGAAAATACAGAGTCTACAGAGAAGTCTGCTTTTACACCTGTTAGAAACAAGAACAAAGAAACAGAGAAAAAAAGAAAAAACACAGCACACTAGCCACCACAAAAAACAGAGTATCCCATGTACATGCAGACTAAAATGTCACAGGGAGGGCAGACATGGGGGTGGCAGAACCCCCAGAGATGGGCAGTTAAGAGCCCTGGGACCACACCCCAGAGGCTATAGTGTTGAAGCACCAAAGAGCTGCAGCGACAAGCCTACTGGCTCCACTGGCAGCCAGTCACGGCCAAGGCAGAAGCATCTTTGGGGCCAGAAACCCAGGCTGAGGAGAGCAACACTCCCAAAGGGGAAATCCCATGGGCCAGGGGGACCAGGCCCAGCCCAGAATGAGACGCCACCCAATGAGGTACAAAGACCTGCACACAGAACCACCAATGCACCAGCAGTGAGAGGTACCAATCACCTACACATTCTTAGGCATCCAGTCCCATTCACAAAATCACACCCTTATACCCTTGCATAGACATAAACAAAGACTCAACGAAATTACAACAATAGACGTCAAACACATTACTACACAAGCCACCACATCCACAAATACTTTTAATACCCATGGCCATCCAGCACCTGAAACCCAGACAGCCCACTGCCCCAGGTTAAGCGCAGCATGCCAGCCATCCCAGGACAGGTGTCCCCCTCACCTGACTGCACGTACAATCCAGACACCAGACCACAGGGGCCAAAGCACCAAGAGGCAGGTGCCCAGGCAAAACCCTTCCCAAAAGCTGAGAGGTATCCGAGCATGCTGGTTGTACCCATGAAACATTTCTCACAATGAGAGAAATATCCTGAATTGAGGGCAAAGACTTTGAGAGATTTTGAGAGAGACGAGAAAAACGTGTTGAGAGAATTCTATTTTTGAGAGAAAATATTTTCTCTCAGATTACAAAACACAATATTTGTGAGTAAAAACCTATTTTTCAGCGAAGTTTTTTTCCTTGGAAATCATTTTGCAAATGAAAATGTATCTTTTATTTATTCTATAAAAAGTATTTTCTCTAACAATGTTTTCTTCAGTGTCAAATAACATTAGTTTTTTCTATCAGTATAAACATTTGTTCTCTCTAATATCTTTATTTTACTTTCTAAATTATTTTCCCCTCTCAGATTGCTTATTTTCTTGAATTTAATAAAAACACAAAGATAACTCCCTACTATTCAACAGGTAAATCTCCAATATAGTACATTATAAAACATTTTTTATTTGGAAATGCCCTAATAAATCTGCTGGTAATCTCTAGGGGCCTAGATTGGACCTGCTTTAAGGAATTCCAGCTTTAACCTCACTGTTATCTGTTTACCTGTCTTCGATGGTTTTGTTTACCTCACAAAAATACGTTGTTTAATAACACAACTAGAGAAGCAGGTCACATAAGACATTTTAACATTATAGAAACTGGTTTACATTTTAC